CTCCCTCCCTCTCCTATTCCCCCCCCCCCTCTTATGAGTCGGGGAAAGTCCGACGAAACAGTCGAGCTTTTCTCATGCAGTTGTGTATCGCGAACATCACAACACACACACACACACACACACACACACACACACACACAATGAAAACGAAAACAAAATGACAGATTGCACCCCCCCGTCCCCCGACTGCCGCCAAGACACCAGCCTTCGCCCACCCCCACGTCTCCCTCCCTCCCTCCCTCTCTCTCTCTCTCTCTCTCTCTCTCTCTCTCTCTCACACACACACACACACACACAAATACATCCGCACACACCCTAGACTCGTAGAATCTTGCTCCCTTCCATAGGTATTCGATATGGTGAGTGGCCAGACAAGAGACCCCGAAAGACTGGTTCGGATGTGGTCTGTGGAAGCACCGCAAACAATCCTCACAGGTACAGTCACCTGGTGCAGTGCAGACAGACATCACGTGCTACATGACTTTCCTCTGCTAGGGGGGAAAGAGAGAGAGAGAGAGAGAGAGAGAGAGAGAGAGAGAGAGAGAGAGAGAGAGAGAGAGAGAGAATGATTCTCGTTCCACGGTCACTGTCAAACACATTAGTGGACACGTGTAACTTGTTTCATGAACTTTCATCACTGAAAAATAAGTCTGAGGCTCAATTGTTACGGTTGCACTTGGATCGCTGTTGCCCGATGTTCTATGGGTCAACATGTGCTTATATAGTTGCCTGGGAGTCTTTCACACAGGTCCTTCAGTGAGTCGCATGCCTGTGCATGCGAGTCCATTTCCTGCTGCTGCATGGTGAATACATCCATGGATATCATCATATCAGATAGAAATTGTTGAGTCAAACTTCAAAGCGGGTTTCACATCAATTTGAGACAGCTCAACTCTTATGCTCCATATACTCTTGCCCTCATGCAGAACCCCCAGAGTTATGAAACACCATGGATAACTCACCAACTTAGAAGATCTGCTAGTGCCGAAGAAGGGAGTGTTTTTATCTTCTTGCACACAGAGTCAAGAATTACCTGCATTCCAGAGGTTATTGAGCACCAGGAACATGAGCCGATACACCCAAGCCATATTTATGTCAGCAAGAAAAGCGCACACACAAGGTATCGCAACTGGGAGAGATGAATTGAGGTAAAGACAATCAGATGCACAAACAAAGAAGTAGAGGGCAAGAGTGTGACTGGATGTTGTTGAATTGTTATCACTTTGTGAAAATAAAAAAACCATTTCCCTGTAATCTGATAGAGACTCTCACTGACTACACCGCCCCATTTTGCTCAATGGTACACACATGTAACCGTTCGTAAACAGCTTGAAGGTTTGTACCCGGAACGGAATAAGATAAATAAACCCGGAACCCGAACGGGGGCTACAGGGCAGCCCCCTTCTGAAAAAAGAATTAGAGAACTGCACAAACCAGAAAGGGTTGGAAGGTAGCAGAATGTTGGACGCTGGACCCGGTTTCCAGCAAAAGCCTAAACAGGTAATGGCCCCAGGTCCTCCGGGCTGAGACGTGGAGGGATTCCCAGCCTCCATTCGCTGATATTTAATGAAACAGCCACGGCTTCTTGTATAAATTAAAAAAAAAAAAAGAAAAAAAAGAGGGGATAAGCTACCCTGACGTCTTGTCGCATCCTGTATTTCATGGATCTTTGGTACAACAACAGCAAGGATTCAGACCATGGTAACCGCCTGGACGTCCGGACCGGGTTCCAGACAGTCCGTTGTCCGGTGTCTGGTGTCTGGTGTCCGGTGTCCGGTGTCCGGTCCCCATGTCTGGATGGAGGCCCCTGGGGCAAAAATCAAAAAAAAAAAAGGGGCGGCCCAGGACGTTTGTCGGGTCCTAGCCGCCCCTCAAAAAATAACAGGGTGATTTTTAAGTGTCCTTTCACCCCACTGGACATGGCCTAGAGATCCAGACACAAGACACTGCAGGTTTTTGAGGCGGCAGGTTTCGCACAGGCCCGAGCAATTTCAAAGCGG